TTGGTCCTCACAGAAGCGGCCTTTTCAAGAAAAGATGTTTCCATTCAGCAATGTCCTCATTTGCTCATAAATAGTGGGTAAAGCTAGAGCAATGAAAAGTTACGTTTAGACCAAGATGGGAATAATAGTTTATCTGACCCACGTCCGCAAAGCTTTCCATACCTCCAACGACCGTGTTAGCTACCAGAGTCGCCTGTGAGACTAATTTCGGAATCCCCGACTTTGTAATACTATGAGAAGAGGTGAACAGATTCTTTTCTTCAGGTTCCAGGGTTTTTAAATTACATCCCCCTCTCTTGCTATATATCAGTTTGCATTCGCAGCCAGGTAAGAGTCATGAGCCAACATGTGTATGCCAAATACCATTCAGAAACTAGTGTTTCCGAATGAGGATCAAGTGTGGGGCACTTGTCAACCATGGTACAGTATAAATACTCACGTGGTGGGTACATGTACCCACTTCGATTACCAGGTTTTCCACAAAGCTCTATCTGATGGCTCAACACGACAGTGGGAAGTAGCGAAAAATGACCCCTCCTCAAGCCGCACTACGCCGAGCTACTTCCGAAAATAATTGATGCAATTGACGGTCGTGAAAGAATGAAGGCAGTAATCAATCTGATGTTCGTGTAACTGACCAGCCGCGCCTCAAACCGTTGCGCTGCTCATTACCTTATCTTTTCGATAGACCTCGGATAGAATTCTACCACCATCACGTGTAGTGATTTTTGGCAGTTTTGTTCGCTCTTCAGTTAAGACCTCTGATGTCCTTTTTTGAAGTTGTTTCTAGTATGAGAGGACCTGGTGGCGTAGTAGATAACGCAACTCGGTCAGCGGAAAATGCGACGTTTCGGTGCCGTCCAAGCGGTCTGAACTTTCACCCGTCCAGCATCTTCGTGAAGCATTTACTTTTCAAATGTTCACGGCAGCATAGAAGCACGAGAGAAAGCGCAAAGGCCATAGAAATCAGTAAATTGACTGAATTAAATAGGAAGAACAAGCGATTTACATTCCAGTATTCATTCTTTTTTAATTATTATTTACTTTATTGTTTTTTTGTTTTGTTTTTTATTGTAGCTCAGTTTTTTAGTTGTTCGTTTAATCATCCCTTTATTTTGTTTGCTTCTGTAGACGCGCTATCACTCTACCGTTTTTCCGTATCTTATCATTGCATTGACAGGAAAGGTTGTTTCCGATGTCAGATCCGAGGAAAGGAAATAGACTACTTCCTTGTTATATGCTCGGCCACAACTTCATCATTTCATTTTCTATAGAAAAATGAGAGGCGTGGAATACAAGATATTACAGAAAGATCAGCATAGGTCAGTTCAGGGGGGGAGGGGGGGAGAAAAGGGATTTCGTCTTCTGCTAGTTTCCTTTGGTACATCATATTGCTAGAGAGGTCTCTCTTCAGTATTGATAGGTATAAATAGTTCTACCTATCAACCTCGTAAGGCACAAAACAAGTTAAGAACTTACATCTCTCTTCAGTGCAAGCCGCTATGAAGCGTTCTGTGAAGCCGCGAAATGGTAGCACAAGCCAATAGCTTGAGGAGTTAACAAGTCCTCACAAGATGGCCGGCACAATCTTCAATGAGTTACCATTTAGTGCCCCTTCTAGCCGAACTGAGCTGTAATCCCAATCCTGATGGTCATATTAGGATGTCCCACAAGTGTCTTAACTTCAAATAGCGGAAAGTGTTCCTGAAGCAAAGATTTTTGTACAGTTCAATCTACAAGAAAATCTCTACTTCAAGGACATTTCTGCGAGCACTTTCGTGTTTTTTAAAAAACACGGACAACGCGAACGTTAAAGTACACGTCAATTTCGTACCCCAATAGGAAATTTATGTTTTCTCCCTGCTTGTAAAGCCTTTGATATTTTTATTCTTCGTTTTATTTTGATATGCTGGTATGCGGCAAGAACTGGTGTTCTGAATAGCAAACCGTTGCTGAAAAAGCCAAAGGGTCCAATTCGAGGCCTGGTAAAGGTTAATTTATTCTACCTGCCTAACAGGTGCGGTAATTTGAAGATGGGCCAAGGTGGATGGCATTGATATCAGGCGTAGATCGCTCATAGAACAAATTCTTCATAATCTGATTAGGGTGCCTCCCGTTCAATAGAATAACCACCAGTTCGAATCATTTCAGAGTACTCCACTCAGATCCTACTTTTATATCCTGGGAATACTGCCCATTGCAGAAAAAAAAAACTTAAATTCAGATTTTATGTTTTGTTTTTGTTGACAGTCTGTTCACCTCAAAACCTCAAAGGAATGGATCAACTTTGACTCATGCTGATAAGTATTGGGTTGGCCTATAAATAATGGCGTTTTTTGTCATAAATTTTTTTTATATAAAAAACAATTGTTCCCAATATGTTCTATTACTTCGATAGATAATTTAGCTGCCTCTATAAGACTGGGCTGGTTACTCCTTACCTGTTCATGATTTTTCGCCGTTTTTTATTTCATTAAAAGGGAAAACTCGGGTCGCCCGTGAGTTTTCGACAACTACTTTTTGAATTGTATCTCGGCTCTCAATCTACAGAAGAAGCTCAAACCTTGTGGATATATATGACCAAAGAAAGATGCGTCTTCATGACAGCTTGAAGTTGGTTCAAGCTATCAAGTGGTGGGAATTCGGACCTTGTAAAAGAGCATCGCGTGGGGGGGGCATCTTGCCTGCGGAACCCATCCACTAAGTTTTGAAGTTCTCCACTCAAGTGAGGTGATGCTTGATAGTGATAAGGAAGTATTCTATGACCTCTAACGGTCCCCCAATCTTTGGCATGGTTCTCAGCTAATAAGGTAATTCCATAAGCTCTCAGCTGAATAGAATAGGGCATTAGGTTCGATGCTTGTCTATGGAATTTGGAACTGGAAACTTCGAATTATTAGGTTGAGTCGATATGGCTCGGACAAATGGTAGTGATGATTTCTAGAGATCATAACTCAGCAACGAGTGAACGAAAATGGACGCGCGAGGTACCGTTGGAAAGAATATAAAAAGCTCTTCAAAATGCAATCAAACAAACACTCCAAACTAGTTTCATTCCGCCTACCATGCCGCACGATTTCAAAAGCCCTCCAGAGACCACCTCCGCGAGTCATACTCTTTCTTTCGACAAAGATGCCGACGCAAACGACGTCCCCAAACCCAGTCCACACCCGAAAAAGGTGATGCTCTGTATTTGGTGGAGCGTACACGGCGTAGAGTACTGGGAACTGCTCGATGAAGGTGCAACAGTAACCGCCGACGTCTACACTCGTCTTTCACGAGAATTGAAGTTCAAATGCTCCGAAATTCGCGCAACGGCGGCCGGTCCCATGCTCTACTTCCAGCACGACAACGCGAGACCGCACATTGCAAGATCGACCAAGGCCGAGCTGCTGTCGTACAGTTGGACCGTGCTTCCACACCCACCGTACTCTCCAGACCTGGCCCCTTCGGATTTCCACCTTTTCTCCCACCTCCAACGCCACCTGGACGGCCAAGACTTCAAAACTCGCGACGACGTCAAGAAGGCACTCGAGAACTTCTTCGAGGCCCAGCCCCGGCCTTCTGGAGCAAGGGCATCCACGATCTGCCTATCCGGTGGCAAGGTCATCGATGAAGATGGAGCATATTTTAAGTGAACCCCAGTTGTCGTTAAAAAGTTGTACGATAAAGAAAAAATTTGTCAATTTGTCCGAATCATATCGACCTCAACCTGATACTTAAATCAGCCCCATTACTTAGGAGGCCTCGACCCATGCGGTTTTAGCTTTTTAATTAGAGGCTATAAAATAGAGGCCTGTCGAAAATGCTCAATTTCGTCGACCGACACTCCATTTTTCTCACAAAAATATTAGTGGAAGAGGAATCGAAGGAAAATTAACGATAAACTGAGAATACTATCGCGTAGAGCAAGGAATTCTCTGCAAAAATGGAATGAATCTCAATGGGAAAACTTTTCTTCTACAGCGCGATATTTTGAGTGGGGAAAAAAACGCCATTACTTATGGGCCGACCCACTATTTTGCCATATCTTTTATCATATCACCTGTTTTGTCTAACAGGACATTCTAAATGGGAGAAATAATGGGCTCAGATTCGTTAGCGTCGTGTCCGTGTCAAATGTCGCTACTCACTTACCATTTGAAAGAGGGTCGCACTATGGAGAAAGAAATGATGGTTGTAAGTCCCCGCCCACGCGGCTATCGAGGAATACGCTTTTAAAACCCGGCTCCTGGCAAGCTGAAAGAGAAAAGGACGAACTCCAAAGATCCTGTGGCTCAAAGGCTGGAAATTGAGTTTCACTCATTCCAGATGTTTAGTGGTGGCCATGATAAATACCACTGATAATCTTCTTATGATTTCGTTTGCATTTTCTAATGAATTTATGGTTATCCCTTTTCACTTCTAGGCTTTTTGGACAACATGGCAGTGCCTTTTCGTTCAAACTCAAGGGCTACTCCAACCTGGTCTTATTTACTTACTTAATTTATTGCTTATCTAGACCCTCCTCCATGTCATACGCTTTATCTCATATGCTCCTTGCAAACTGTTTCATGATGGGCCACGTTGCTGTTGAAAACCTCTTTTAAAATTGTTGATTACAGGTAATGGAGGAGAAGCATAGCACGTTCATCGTTGACGCTTTTGCAGCGAAGAGATTTGCTGGGAATCAGGCCGCTGTGTGTTGATCCTCGGTAGCCCGTGATCAGCTTCTTGCGAAATACGCAGGTTTGGCTTGCTGACGGCTGTAAGAAGTCGCGCGCTGTTGGCTTAGCGAGGCGGAGGGAAGGGCAGGAAGGCCGCTTTGTACTTCAGATAGTCATTACAAGATAACCTCAACCCAGAAGATTTCACTGGGTAAACCCACTACATTTTCGAGGCGACCAAGTGCTAAATGTGTGCCACTTCGATTATGAATTTCAATTTTAGGTGTTAAGGGATGAGGAGTATCAGCAAATTGCCGCTGAATTTAACCTGTCGGAAACAGCCTTTCCAATCCCGACTGACGGCAATTTTCAGACAGGTGACTTAGAAGGATACAACGATGGATATCTCCTACCTAATATTCTATTTCAGCCAGCAAGTTCACGTTACGGTGGTTTCACTCCAGAAACGGAGGTGCCGTTGTGCGGACATGCCACGCTCGCCTCTTCTCATGTTTTGTTTCAATGAAGTCGGTATGTCGAAAGTTTAGGAACCTTGGCAGTTAGTTTTTTCTGGCCTAGAGATTCCACGGCGCCTTTGGAGGGCGTTTCCATAGTTGCTAGTCCTGAATACAGTCGCAACTAAATACCTGTGGACTTTTGCCCGTTCAAGGAGGCTCACGGCTGTGTCAGCAATTTCTTGTGCCCTCTGCGCTTTCTCATGCACCTTTTGTCTTCGTATCGCTCTGAACCGGGGACAGATCATCGTCCCGTCGTCGTATCGTCGCGCTCACAAATACAGTCGTTCTCGCCACAGAAACAGAAGCGCTTCAGGAGGATGGGGGAGGGCAGGGCAATTGAGTTTGACGCCGCGCCAAGCTTTGCTTCTCTACAACTACCTAGGTCCCCGTTAACCTTTTTTCGGTTAGTTTTGGCATTTCGCGTCATTTAGTATTCCTTTCACCTTCATTAAATTCTAGGTAACAACTCATCTACGATCACATTTGCGACCAAATCTGGAGATCTCATTGTCAAAAGAGGAGCTCGAAAACTTGTTGAGATGGATTTTCCTCAATATGCCATCACCGCTATTCAGTTCCACACTGATCCAAGTCCATTAGCGAGAATATTTCCTGAGGTCAGAGACAGTATGAAAACCACTTCAAATGTCGTGGGGTGTTGGAATGACTTTGTTCAGGCTGGTTCCACCAGCAGCGTAGTGCCGCTGAAAAATCGGCACATTGCTCGAGGCTGCGCGGAAAATCGCGTGAAAAAAAAACGCGAATTTGCGCACTTTGGGGAGATAAATGTTGATGGTTGGGAGAAAGGGGGTACTGATGTGGTACCGGCAATGCAGTGACCTCCGCGGACTAGTTTTCAGCGGAGTTTTTAGTTTTTTTTCACATGCTATATTAGAACACTCAAAGGCAGGGATAGCCGAGTGACGAGTGTAAGACTCACGCTTCTCACCCTGAGCCACGATGTGAACGAATCCCTGCGAGGCACAAAAACTGCCCTTGCCCAAACAAATTGCTGGCAGGCCAGCTGATGGAGGAACCCGTCACAACAATCATGACAAGTCGCAATAGAATCAGTGTTAATGCTAGGACGTCACCCGGAAGTGGCGCGCAGAACCCTCGCCCGAGTTCTGTGGTCAGTATGCGAGGGCTACCGAGGGGTGAACGACCTCGGCCAAAGAAGCTAGTTCGAATTGGGACCCTGAACGTGGGGTCGCTTACCGGGAAGTCTCGTGAGGTTGCCGACCTCATGAGACGCAGGAATATCCAAATCCTATGCCTTCGATAGTTGTCAAACTCTTCTACAATGGAGCAAACACTAAACGGGATGGCGTGGCCATAGCGGTGGCAGAATCCCTGAAGGGCACGTGCTGAGAAGGCCTGAGGACCACCCAATAAGGAAGGCATTGGAATTCGAAGCAGAGGGCAAGCGACCACGAGGAGCCCCAAAGAAAAGATGGAGGGACGTCATCAAGAAAAGGACCTCACTGAAGTGAAAGCCACGGGGGGCGCGGGACAGCAAGATGCCAGCGGTGGATCGGAGCAAGTGGCGACGTCTAACACGACCAGCGGACCCTGCGACGGCGCGGTACTAACGCCAGGGAGAAGAAGAAGAAGATTGGAACACTCAAGCGACAATCAGTTAGGTCCTGGGGCGGTACCTGCCATGTCCCTAAACGCACCGCACTCAGGGTATCGGCGGATCTGCGGGTTAAGGGTGTGTGGCGATTCTATCGTCGATGATAAGTAGGTCGCCGCGCTGGTGGGCGCCGCGTACGAGTCCTGCTGCGTCGTGCTCGTTCAAATTGTTAAAATGATCATCAAGCCATATTGTTTATGTTAATCCTGTACTGCTTTTCCCATTTTCCTATGATGATCAATGATTGTTTTTTCCGCATTCAAAAGTAAAAGGGTGTAAGACTGGTCCCACGTTATTTGTTCAAAATTACTGATCCAATTTTGGGCTTTTCGGAACTTGTGAATACGCGGTCTTTTCGAGACTCCTTGTATGTCGGTAATGCAACTCCGGAATTGTCGCACCGCGCCGCCGCGCGAGACGCCGCGACGCGATGTGCGCGACGTGACCTGACTTGCCGACGATAGAATCGCCCGGGTCCCGTCGGATCTAGACCCGCAAGCAATCCCGATCCGACCCTGGAATGGACTGAAGAATGAGGTCCATGATGGGCGGCATTGAGAACCTTTTCCGTTCACATATTGTTCAAATATAGAAGATGTGTGGCGCCTTCTCCAACGAAGGGCACCGATCAAAGCGCAGCATGCTGACCCCACGCCCACTGCAACCGCACGTCCACAAAAGGGCGCGCAGTTACATCGACACTAGTACTCTTATCGCTTCATTTATAGGTACAGTTGATACGAAGCTTTGTTTCAAACAGAGCGGTTGCTGGCCACGATCTTCAACGTTGAACTTCGTCCGAAAATGCCTCGTTCCACTGCCGCAAGAACAAGGCTTTGCCGCAGACTTTTGACCATTAAGTTCGCTTCATCGTCATTTTCCCATTATAGCAACCGTGCTACCGTTTGCGAGCAAATGACAAATTGTCTGCCCTATGCCTTCAACTGGAAAATTCACAAGATTGAAAAAAATTCGAAAAAAACACCTGATGTATTAGGCTGTTGAGAACTCTTCGGTTTCAGTTCCATGCTCCGCCTCATTTGCCCGAACTCATTCATGCATTTATTCCAAAGATTATACGGATTGAAGCTGTTGCTTATGCGAGTGCAGCAAAAAAACTGATCATTGTTATCGACAAAGAAACCACAAAGTAGCGTGCCAGTAGTTCCTCGAACTTTCTACTTTTTTCATTTTTGTCATAACTTTGCCACATTGGAAAAGAACTCTCACGATCAGTTACACTTGGAAGTCTTACAGATACTTGAAAAAATTGCGGCAGACGTCAAAATCCTTCCCTCAATCGGACTCTATATTCTGCCCCTCGGGAGCAGGCCGTGCGGCGACAGAGTGGGTCGATTGGTTTTATCTTGCAGACTCAAAGACACAATGCGGTTGTCAGCAAGAGGCGGGCGACGTCACATGCCGTCAGCCTTCCTCATTGGTGCGCTCTTCCACTTAGAATGATAAGCTCATAACGCTGGCATACTTCATCCCCAGGTGGATGGCGCAACTTCTACGAGTCGGGTATCGTTGCTTTATGGGTCCAGTAGTCACTCAGTGTGGAGCAGCGATAGTGGCACAACCCCTGAGACTATCTGTGGAATAAGAAAATCCCTCCCCCCTTTCATTGTGTAATTGCCGGTTCTGCCTTAAGAAGCATGGGTGCATCAGAGGGGAAGGCAGTGGTTAATATTAACCGCCTATCCGTTATCTCGACATCTTTTTGAGTTTTCAGGAGCGCAGCTACCCCAGCCCACAGATAATTTCCTTGTTCTCCTGTTTTTTCTTTAGCCACTGAACCTGAGCAATAATTGAAGATTTCCAAATTTCAGTTTCGAGTTGTCGGAGATTACTTCAAAACGAGCTGATAGGATGGTGAAACTTGATCCTGAGGGTGAATTCACACGTGGAGTAATAGTTACTCTGGCGCCTACGCCTGCCCACGCCAAATCGCAGGTCCATCTCAATATTATTGTGTGATCCCACTAGCAAAATACGATTGCTGTTGCGATGTGGGATGCCTAACGAAAACTGAAGTACGACGATTATTTCAGGGATTTGTAGACGCAGAAGCAGAACCGTACGATTATGTTTGTCGATATTTCGCACCATGGGTAGGAATCATGGAAGATCCAGCCACAGGTTCAGCTCAATGTGCACTGGGACCTTTTGGGGAGCGGTACTTCAAAAGCGCAGTCTATATGGTGAGTTTAGAGTATATATTTGTATTAGCAGACTTCAGGAATTAGCTGTGAGGGGAAGCGAAGCCTCTAAATCCTTAGTTCACGTCAGTGGTTTCCTCCAATAAAAAATTCTCCCAATAAAAAAGTTGGCAACAGATTTCAGCGATACACTGCTGCACATTGTGGCCTGAAATTCGTTTTTCTTGCCAAACACTTGAAATCTCTGTTCCAGCCTACCAATCGTATCCGAAGCGTGGAGCACAATTTCGAATTCATCTACACAATACCGGTAGGCTGTCGATCCTGGGCCAGTCCGTCACAGTTCTACAAGGTCAAATCCATTTAAACGAAGCAGTATTCTACTAGAAATAAATATTTTGTCTGAGTTGCCGGATCACATTGCGATTAAGTTTGATTAGTCACTGAAGGCTTCAAAGCAACGAAAATTTCGGGCGCTGTTCGGCATGGAGGGGGCATATGCATTGCACTTCCGCTAGTTCCTTTTGTTAGTTCATCTTGACTATTAGCCTCATTTTGGTGAAACCTGTAAACCCTTGTGAACCTCCGAAATAATACAGGTGAGCCATTTTCGGCTACAAAAACTTACACGTTTTCACAAGGCGACCTGTATAAGCTCCAATGAGTACCACTTGATACCCCCACCAAGTCGGACTGCGCTGAAATTTTGTTCCCATCGTTATGCGAAAAACCAATTCTCCAGATCGATTTTCCTGAGTCATTATCGATATCCGATTAATTCCGTCTTTATAACCTATCGAACCAAGCTTGTGGCAGTTCACATTTTGACATCATTGAAACGTAGGTCTTTCAATTACAACACGCAACATCGTTGTAGGGACACGATTTCACTGGTTTACCGATGAATCTTATTTGATATGACACTAGAATCCGAGTGGCTAGAGGCTACAGTCTTATTCTTCGAGAAATCCTCGAACAAGTGACTGGCAACTGCTGTTCGAGTGCCAAGATCTCCAGCTTTTGCTGCAACGACCAAAAGTATCCCACTGAACACCTTGTCAACGCCACGCCAAGCTGCTACCTACCGCTGACTGCGTTTTTTGCTGCGCGATTCTGATCTCAACGGTGCTGTTCCCTGAGAATAACGCGAGCGGGTCCCAAACGGCTTCCCGGCACCACTACCTTTCACCCCTAATTTCTGCTCGCTCACAACTGAGCCGCAAGGTAATAATTTGCTTCATCTGCCGACCTATTCTTTCTCGCCACTCTAGGCAAGGATAGTCTTCGGACCGTGAGTGCAGTACAGTTTGCCTTTGAAGCTGGAATTCGCACTCACCTCTAAATCAACCACATCTGTGGCAGTATTCAATCGGCTATTGAACGACCGCCTGTGGCATCTACGTCCTGCCCTGGGGAGGTCGTCGGACCTCCTCTGACCTAGGCCAGTCGCCGAGTGCCAGATGGAGGTGGGACGGGTTACGCCGTCGTCATGGCGGCCGTGGTTGATGTTATTAAAAGATCTCACTTCACACCTATCATGCCTCTCGGGGAAGACTCGCCTGCGGTGTTGCCTGACTTAATTGCTCTCACTCACTCCTGACCTCTCGTCTACAGACACGACTGAGCCAATTAGAAGCAAAGAAAGCCAAACATTCAACTCTGCTTCCTGCTCTTAACGCGCCGGCTTCATTGTCATATCCACCATCAGCACACAACTCGCTCATTTCACTTGCACATACCTCCATTCCAGGTTTTCAGCAATTTTCAGATTCCCTTTTAGCACAGCAGAAACACAACCACGGGAATACATGGACGAGATGTAATAATTTACAGGATTGTAGGCACCAGTCATTCACCAGAATCGATGGTTCCCTGAGCTTCATGTGTTCAGCGGCACAGCATTCGATGGGGGATTTGGGTCAGCTTATTCAGGGGCTGGTGCGACGCAGTGCGACGTACATGGTACGGGCGTACATACTAGCTATAACACAGTAAATTCATAAAAATCCACCAGAAATACGACCCCCCCCTCCCCACAAGGACCAAATTACGACCCCCCCCCTCCGAAACGTCCGCAAGGAGAGAAAAATCAACTATAAAAATAAATTTTTCCCAGCCCAAATACGACCCCCCCTTTTGACGGCCAAATACGACCCCCCCCACCCCCTCGCTCCCCCCCCCAATAGGCGAATCCCCAACCGCAATGCTGTGCCCTGATTGTGTTAATCTTGCTGTAATCACAGGAACGGCGAAGCTCTTCTCTTCGTTAAATCTTTATCATATGACAACGTTTCGGGCATAAGCCCTTCGTCAGGTCACTCGATCTTAAATCAACAGCATATACCCTCACAATGTTACAGCACTAATACAGTGAAAAGAGTACAAGGTGGTGTGCCTCTCATGTCACGAGTTTTACATAGGAGAAACATCGAGGCCACTTCACAAGAGAATGGAGGAACATCTAAGAGCTTTGCGGAGCCCACAGAGCTACCCGGAGAACCCATTCTCGAGACACCGCACACTAAGGCACGCACAAGAAAGACCGCCGGAACTTCGCATCTCTCGCATCTCCATCGTACACAGAAATGTGGTAGATCCAGTTGAAAGAAAGATCAGGGAGGCAATGGAAATAAAGCAACAAGGACCACCAAGGAGGAGATGAAAGTGGCAATGAGTTTGTTATCAGTATAAGACGTGCACAATGGAGACATACGTGACGAATGCTAGATCACCCTTGTCCGCACCCTTATAAATGATCCCAATCCTTCCACTTTTATTTCTGTCCTACTGCTACGTAGTGAGGCCTGACGGAGCCCTGTTCTCCTTCCCTCTTCTACCTAGTGTGGGTTGTTGCTTTTTTCACTGTATTAGTGCTGTAACATTGTGAGGGTATATGCTGTTGATTTAAGATCGAGTGACCTGACGAAGGGCTTATGCCCGAAACGTTGTCATATGATAAAGATTTAACGAAGAGAAGAGCTTCGCCGTTCCTGTGATTACAGCACCAGTCATTCGTTCACTTTTTATTGCGTGTATGGGACCTAAACATACCAGGTTTACGAAGTGGAAGGATATTGTAGAAAAATGTCCAGATTTGTTACTAACACCTAATTCCAATTTGATTTCAAATTTAATTTATTTTTTAATTTTTTTGTTTTACTTTAATTCATTTTCGCATGCTTTTCATCTTTGACTGTTTCATGTGATTCAAATTTTTCAATTGTAGTCCTTAATTCTATTAAATTTGCTGAAAAATTAGCAGTAAATAATCACTCATCATGATGTAATCGTCAAGTAGAGGAAAGGTCAGGAGCTAGTGAGAGAGCAATTAAGTCAGGCAACACCGCAGGCGAGTCCTCCAAGAGGCATGATAGGTGTGAAGTGAGATCTTTTAAGAAACTCCTACACCATGGCACATACAGAGTGCTTGCCTTTGCTATCCTACGGTGTTGTCACGCGGGTGCATTGTTGCTATACGCAACCAATAGGCCCTTAGTGCCCTACGCTGTGCACACTATGGCCATGCACTTAATGTTAACCCACCTGCTTAGGCCTAGGTCACGCACCTCACTTAATGACGACTCTGGCAAGGCTAGCTAACTTAAAACACCGTTAGCATTCAACTCTCGAACCTGCAGCCAGCATGTGCCACATACGCCAAAAATACAATATGAATAGTTTACACAAGGAGAAAGAAACTTGTTAATTGCATTGAACAACAATACAAAAGAAATCAATTAAGTACTTCTTGCTTCTAATGAGAAGTGGGTATGAAATGATAAAAAGGAAACCACTAGGGGAAAAAAGGTAAGTACAGCACTAGCCTACGGGGCGAAGTCTGCCTACACTGTTGGCTTAGGTTCCTCGCGTTGCACGGCTCGATGTAAACGGCAACCAACGCGATGGATAACGTCGTTGACAGATCTACGGACAACTTCAACTCAATCCCTTTGGACGCGCAGATCTTTCTCTTTTCTTCTCGCACCTCCGTCTCCGCTATGGCACTCTAGTGGCCATTCGACAATTCGTGCCGGCTCTAAGCGGTATCTGAGAAACCTTCGCATCCGTATAGGCGGCAGCGGCGTCCGCCGCCACCACACATAAAACGTTGACGCGTTCAGAAGGAGTCGTATGCGAAATCCCGACAAATAGGCAAACGCGACCCACTTCTGGAATTGCCTGCGAATGAACGTAATAAATGAATGAGTGTTATCTAATGAAATGAGATGTTATCACAATTGTAACATTAGGTCAAAGTGATACCTCATTTCGATCGGTTTCCAGTTTTGCAAGCGGTAGTTTTCTTCTATCATACCTCATTTCATAGTGACTCTGCATTTTTGAGCGTACAGATAGACAAGCAGACCGACTGAGAGGTTCGCAAACCGAAAAAAAACAGGCATCGCCGAGCTAATCGGAGTAATTGCATTCTTTGAGGGGATCCTGTTTTTCTTTGCATTCAGATGGTCATCACAAATCGATATTGCTAGCAATCATCCCGTCACTCTCTCATAATCAAAGCGTCCCTATTTTGGCGGCTTCTTGAGGTCCCGCTTTGGCGGCACATTTCACCATGCCTATAGTGTCAGCAAATCCAGGATTCTATATTAGCTATCGCCTCTCAAGCCGTATGGTTAAAAACGTCCAACTGCGACTGTCACCTCCCAAGAAACTTTTCACACTGAAATCAACTGAAAGGAAGTGGAGCCATCCTCTGCTTTCTCCTTATTCTAGCATTTGTCCTGCTAGTTGGCCAATATCATTTGGTATGATGACGTCACGTCATGCGGATTCCAGCTACTGTGATGTCTGCATGCAGCGTGTCGAGCCAGAGCTGTTTGGGACGTCCCTCAGATCGCTTTCAAGACACACTCAGCTGAAGACGTAGTCTTATAGACGGTGTCGCATTTTCGCGCGAAAAGCGTGGCCGCACCATCGAAGGTGCGTTTCTCGCATTTTCGGAGGCCTATAGGAGCTATGCCGAGCTTCCTGCGTATTGTTAAAAATGCGGTCCATACGCATGACGCCAGCCGTCCCAACGCAACATTCTCCATCACATGAGATGAGCTTCGTACTTGTTAGCGGCCGGACTCAGCACCTAAAGGACGTCTGGACGAACGAATGGACATCTCTAGAACGACGACTCTATACGAAAACTTGCGTTACTTCTGCATCTTTCTGTCGCGAAAAAGGAATCCTCAGGAAATGGACAGCCTTTTTGATACGCTTCACTACCACTTACGTTTCACTCTCGAGTTTGGCGACCGTCCACCGCAACCTTCTTTGATACCTCCTCGACGCCCTGAGACGAAGTGGCGTGGCATTTGGATATGGCATCAAATACGTTACTGTCAGTCTTTTTGACGT